AGGTGCATTTGTGCTTTGTAGGGAAGATGCACCTGATGAGTACGAAAAATACGATAGTGATCTCATGCACTTGGTAGAGCGGGAGCTCTTTTGGCGAAGTCCAGGTCTGACAGTACTCCCCATTCTGCGAGTACCTGAAAAACAAATCAGCAGCCATGCGTCCAGAGGAGTGCTGAGCTTAAAAATCAATGCATGGATGCCAGTTGTTCGTCGCACACAAGCGAGCGGCGCATAAGTTTTGCCATTATGTGACGCTCAAAGGTATTTAACCACTGCAGGGACAAGTTTTAAAGACATTGTGGGTCTATCATCTGCAAAGTCTGTGCTGAGGGAAGCTGTGCTCTTGCCCATACACATGCCGGATATCCTTACCGGCCTTCTGGAGCCGTCGAAAGGAGTACTTCTTTTTGGCCCGCCTGGCACAGGTAGGCACCGGTGCCCGTAGCCAAAAGCTATTCCACTGTAGTCCGAACGATATCTCAGTCATCCGTAAAGGGCAGTCGTCAAGTAAGAAGCTTTTTATTCGAGGTTACGTGCGTTCCACTAAGGAGCAAGCGCCTATCACGTATGATTCTGCTTGCTGCTTAAACAGGAAAAACTATGCTGGCTAGCGCTGCCGCATCCGTACCAGGAGTTTCACTGTTTCGCTGCTCACCCGCCACATTGGTATCCAAGTGGCGAGGGGAATCAGAGAAGATGGTTCGAGCCCTATTCAACGTGAGAGGCATTGTTGATGCATGCGCCACAGAGCATTTTTCTTAAGACCAAAATCCTTGAAGCTCAAGTCAAAAAGCTACTTGGCACTTTTAATGCCTTCTCAGGTGGCACGTGCACGAGCCCCAAGCGTTTTATTTTTTGATGAAGCTGACGCGCTATGCAGTCATCGAGGAAACTCTGAAGAACATGAAGCATCGAAAAGGTTCAAGGCCGAGCTCCTGCAACAGATGGACGGCCTGTACCAGCAGGGAAGGGCGTCGCCTAGAGTACATGAATTTGAAGCACAGCCCTCACAAGGAAGCAATGACCGGTGGAAGTCGCCTCATGTTGTTATCATAGCTGCAACGAATTCTCCATGGTACAGAGAACGAAAACATTTTGTCATGGCATCTTTTCGTGATCTGGAACGTCGTGGCACTGATATTGGAGCCCACCATTGTGATTCAAGATTTTTCAGTGATACAATCCGTATCTGCCGCGATGCTCGGCTCAAAAACCACACTAGCTGGTGCAAAAGTGTGTGACTCAGGGACTTGGATGAGGCTTTGCGACGGCGTCTTGAGAAACGCGTGCTCATACCCTTGCCAGATCACTTTACGAGAAAAGCCCTACTCGACCATTTGCTCAGCCAGCAACAGGCAAGTTACAAAGAAAAATTCCTTCTCTTTCTGGCATGCGAGGCACTCGCAGTGGCGTAGAAATTTGTTGGTTAATAACAGATGCGCAGTGGAGTTACAATGCCACTATATATCTCCACACGTTTTTTACACATGCGCTTCTAGAACCTTCCAATCTTGCATGCTTGCAGTTGGACAGCACTGCTGATTTAGAAGAAGTGGCCCGGCGCACTGAAGGATTTTCCTGCGCTGACCTTCGCAGCCTTTGTAGAGAGGCTGCAATGCAGCCAGTTCGTCGCCTCTTGAAGGAAATTCCTGAAGACTCTATTGAACAAGCCATAAATAGAAGTACTGTAAGTCTCCCGAGAATCCGTACTCATACACTTGGAAAATACGCCGCTAAAAAATATTTGATAGACGATAAGTGTATACAGGTACAATGAAAATGTTATAGATGCCACTGAACATTGTACTAGCATCAGAAGCAGGAAAATATGCACACTTCCGATACAATTGAACTTTACATGCAAATGAACATGACGAGACTGAAATCTAGAAGCAACAGATGATGCGCATTGTCGGTGCAACTGGCCTTTACCTTGTGCCGACTTTTGTCCTATTGTTCAGTTTAAGCCGGTACTTGGAGCTGCGGACTTTGAGTCGGCCCTTCAGGCTACGCGGCCGTCTGTCAGCGCAGATGCTGTCCTGCGATACGCTGAGTGGCATGCAACCTTTGGATCAGGCTAAAGCCTCTGTGGCGCAGGGGAACACTGGCTGTTCGTTTCTCTCCGTTCGAACAAAAAGCGCTGTTAGAGTTTCGTACACTCAAGCTCCCTGGACGAAGCTTGAAGTGATATCCACTATCTTTGATTATCCTCTGCATAGCTGTGTGACAACGTATTTTTACATTTGCAGTGCGCGTTCAACGGCTGTTCTACTGCAAAAAATATTGCTGGAGACAATAAATGCAGTTAGCGGCGTTCCAGGAAATGTTTTCAGCTCCATCAAGCCCAGCTGACCCTTGAAAGGGCTACCAAAAAAAATTGCGTTTCCCATCAGTGCCGCAGTATGCAAAGACAAATCCATGTGTTTTCTATTTACCTTTGATTTTGGATGGACCCGTACACCAAGTATGCAATTACTTTCTGAATATCTTATCAAAAGACGGAGCTCCACCAATAAAGCAGGAAGGATCGTCAGTTTAAAGTGCGCGCTTCAGTTACTCGATGCACCAGAGGCGTGCTTTAAGGGACTTCAGCGTCGAGTACAAATGATTTAGAGAGAGAGTTTTCTAGGTATGCAGTAAAAGTCACATAAAGAAAGACGCTGCCACTGCCACTCCGCCGCAGTCAAGAGAATCTCCTAGACGGAATTTCCCGGTGATTCCACCCATTCGGCGCCTCTCTGCCATCCGTGGAATAGTTCGGACCCGTAAAATCACAAATTATTTTCCTCATTTATCTTTAAGAGTTGCATATTTCTTTCGCACTGGACAACTGTGTGTATATGAGAGCAGAACCTCGGTAAGCTCTTCCTGCTCCCTCGGGCGGAGGTGACCGCCACTCAGCAACGTCCATTTCAGTTTATCTTGCTCTATTTAGGAGCTTCGTCCAGAATTTAAAAGGCCCCTGCGAACCGAAAACACGCCATTGCACAATTGATACATGGAAAAAAAATCACAACGCACTTTCAGCCCTAATCAGGTCAGCCGCCTTTCAGACAAACACACCAACGTGAATGTCAGGCAGGACCGGGTCAGAATAGTACGCGATCCACGACTGGGGCATCCATATGGTCTGCTAAGATTGCAAGAAAATCAATCTGGAACTAAAAGGCTTCCCAGCATCGCATGTAGAAGATAGACTCGGATAGCTGCGCACAGTAATGTTTCACCGCCCGCATCCAGAGCGTGCTCCAAGTTTGGCCCTTCTTCATCTACTCATTCAGGAACTATGTACAGCTCTTTCTAACAAAAGTAAGAAATATATGTACTCCAAATTGAGGGTTCATTGGATGCTGCGCAAAAACCAACAGTTAGTTTTCCATCGCCACCGCCCTCCTGGCTTCGTTCTCCAAAAAGCTGACGCCGCTTGAGCCCCCATCCGCAGTGTGACAGGCACTCCAACCGAGGATCATGACGTGGATTATATCATGGACCAGTACGGCTCGGGAGCCGGCGCCCGAGTACGTCGTCAAGTGCCGCGGAACCCTTGAAGTTCAAGCCACCTGTGAGCTCGCTAACCACCTTACAGGATGCCCGGCTTTCCTTCGTGCTTGGCATCGCCGCCAGCGAAGACGTCTTCAGGCTCGAAACATCTTGTTCCTTCCAAGGCGTGGCAATTTGGGATCATCAGTTTCCGCCGCCCCTAGGGCTAGCAGCTTTCCATGACGAGGGGAGAGGGAGCGCTGCATACCGCATGGGCTCATGGCATTGGCATTAGAAGAGAATAGAGGCTCAAGCAACAGAATTGATGTGTTCTGGGTAGCCCAGTTCAGTCCGGCGAGGGAGGAAGTTGGAAAAGTTGTAGTGCGCAGGCACTATAATAGGGACTGCTGGTGCCCTTAAGAGGGTAGCTAGCGGGTGACATGTAAGAGGTTAGGACGCTGAAAGAGCGCGGAAACTTTTTAAGGCAATTAATCGGCAAATTAGCATGTGTAAACAAGAATAGTCTGTGAGTACCCAAAGATTGGGGTTGGCAATAGCGCCGATACCAGAGTGGGCCACCGCCCCACCGGGCCAAGAATGCAAGGACCCTGAGTGGAGGGACATTTTAGGAAAATCGGGTAGGGAACTCGAACGATGACTGCTTTTATTGATAATTTGGTATTTGCCTCATGAGATACGCGTCGAATGTAGAGGGTTTGTCAAAGGGCGCCCTATTTGTGCGCCAGGTTGTAACGTAGTAGCAGCGGAGAACGCTGTGCACTCCATATGGGGGCTTCTCCGGGATTTAGCTTTTTTCTTTTCTGGACCTAGGAGTAGCAATACCTGCAATATTTGCACTACTGATTCACATCCAGGCAGCTTTTCTCGGTAAGGGATGCACCTGCGCAAAGGACGCGTTATCGGGCCAATTCAGGAGACGTCTGCTATTTTCTTCAAAAAAATATGCCCAGCGGGACACCCACCCAGCATCGTCATGCTACCCCGAAGCTCACCGTAGCAGAACGGCCGCATCTGCATAAGGAGGCAACCCAGCAGGTGGCACTTATACCCAGTGTTGCCGGTCTGCCAGCGGACAGTCCGTACGTTACATGAGACCAACACAACTCCGCAACGGCAGTGATAAAGAATGCCATGGGGTAGCCCTGGGAATCGCACGCAACGTTTGCCATCCTTCCTGAAGAAGGCGGGACTATGCAGGCCTTTTTGCTGCGTATCAAACGACGGTACACACGACTGGGATTAGAGCCCCATAACTGGGGGAGCGAGCTTATTGACCACCTTGTGGGCCCGTCCTTGACTTATTGGATGTATTTATGGCGAACTATCGATTTAATTGACTGGGAGGCGGTACAGCATAGACTTTTGGAAAGGTTTGACAAAACAAGGGCAAGAACAGTGGACAGCCCACTAGTCCCAGCGCTGAGAGGGCTGAACGTTTAAATGACATGGCCTAGGAGCGGTTGGAAACTTTTAGGTCACCAAGTCATGGCAAAGGGGTGATGTGTGCAGTGGCGACTGCACCTAATGCCATTCCAGTCTCCCTCGGATGGGAAAACAAACTACTCAACACGGAGGATAGAGCTAATACAAGAGATCAGCATGTGAAAAGGGCTAAGCCGCCGTGGAAAACGCGGTGGGAGTCACGACCTGCACTGACCCGGAGAGGAGAGGCTCCTTGCGAGAAGAAGGACAGCAGCGTAAAGCCTACGGAGGTAACTGGAGAAGGCTACAGGCCAGAAGAAGCAGAGATTGAGCCGCAGTGGTGGCGGAAGACTTCTGCGAAGGAGGCTTACAACAAAAAGAGAGCACTGTTTTATGTGTGTGCGACAGCGGTACTCCGAGTTGAGGTGGCAGGGAGTCCATGTGGAGGAGCTCTGGAGACAGGGACCTCGAGAAGTTTCATTAGTTCTAAAACAGTCGAATGGCTCTAGGTCAAGGTGCGGAGACTCAAAGTAAAGCATAGGTTTACAGTAGCTACCGGTGAACAGCTTTTCATTGATCATGTCTTGATGGGGTTGACGGTGTGGTGCGGACATGCAAACTGCACAGGAGACTGGAGCCCGTTCCTTATGGCTTAGTACTGGAGTTGGATTTACTGAACGAACATAAGGTTGCCTGGTACTTCCAGTCAGACAAGCTGAGAACCTGTGTGAACGGCAAGTGCTGCGAGCTACCGCTCGGTCAGCACTGGTGAAGAAAACCTGCAGAGAGATAGCCCTACCGTAGTACACCCAAGGAACCCTCCCAAGCAAGCACATGAGACTGGCGAACACGACAGTGGAGGAGGCCCCAATATGCTTAAGCCTACCACCCAAAAGATATAAATACCATGCGAAGACGAAAGCGAATGTGCGGATTTTGTCGCTCATTTGTCAGGCGAATGCTGGCACGAAGAGTCTCAGGGCACCATTGCACGGTTTGCATCTCATACTGGCTTGAAAACTTACATATTTTGCTCGCCTCTCTTGAAGTTTTGTCTGGGGCCTTTCGTACATTCTTACTCTGTTCTCTGGGCCAAGTTGTCTATGAGGCGTACAGTTACCCCAAAAGCTGCCTGCCTCCCAATATCGGGTCACCCGCTTAAGCAAAGGTCGTCGTACTTCTGGTTGCACATTAAGGAATAAACGGAGGATCAAATTCCAAGGGAGCCAGCAAGATAATGAGATAAAAACCGAATCTCTGTCACTAAAGCGCATCTTTTAAATTGATATCGCTTTTATTTAGAAGTAAAGACGTGACTTGTCTTTCGTCCGCCTGAGGGCAAGTTTCTCTAAACTTCCAGGCGGGCGGTACGGTGAACACGTGCTTCCTCGGCACCCGCTTCTACATTGTTTGCGAGCAACCGGTGTCTAGATTATTCAGATTCAGATCACACTAGCTGCCAATGTCTGAATGCATAATAAGGCCGACGGACTTACTTTAGCTTGGGTTTTGATCAACTATTCTGCTCTGCCTAACGAGTTAATGAACGGTTCGTGCTGTATTGCACGGGATAGGTGACAAAGGGGCAAAGCAACTCTACGATACTGAATAACTCGGTTAGAAGGGAATTTTACTACGAGAACTTTTACCGCATCATTGGTGAACCTCCGAGCAGAGCAAGCGGCTCGAAGGCGACCTACAGCGGTGCAGACGGATCTCTCACACTCGGAACTAGCGGCACATTTCTCGCGATTGCCACTACCCCACGAGCTGTTCTGCATGCACCATAAAGGTTTCATTTTACACTGCCTTTATGCTGCACATGGCTGGAGTGGCCCACAGCGGAGCAGCGCCATAACCGCGGGATAGGGACCTTTCTGCGGATGCCTATGCGCCTCGGAGTGGCTGAAAAGCAAAGTACACAGCAATGAAAGCCTCATATCACTTCTCTTGGAGAGTTCCCTGAGCGTAGGGACTATCACATACACTATTCTCACTGTAATTCCAGTTTAATGCAGTGCCGTGTTGAGAAAGCAATAGCAGGAAGATGCGAAGTGGCAGTGTTTCGATATGGGGCTATGCCACTCTCCCCAACTTGAGTCACAATCTTGCCCGCTAGTTAACGGAGTGCGTTTTACGTTAAAGAACGCGTATCGGACATATATACTCAAAACTAACGACCGCAGACGATGGATTCTCAATGGCCTCCAGGAATCACGCTTACGCAAAGCGTGTCTAGCAACTTGGATCTCTGACCGCAGTCCTGCGCAAGCTGAGCTGCCTTGTGGTTGCTTTCTTCGTCGGCGTCACGCTATCTTACCTAGCACATTACTGAGGCTTATTGTCGTTGCATTTCCTGTACAATGCAAGAGCAGTCAGCACAGACTCACACCGTCCCTGCGGGGCTTCGTCTCGGCACAAAAAAGTGGACAAAAAAGACATTTAAGCTGTACTAGTTTTTGGGTTTTGCACAGATTGTCAACAGGAATGTGTCAACCTTTTGAGCTGAAACCCTAAAGAGGCAATGTAACCGCAGTGGAACAAATCTATCGAAATTTGCTTGAAAGTGAGCCAGAATAAGCGACACTGCGCTTTTCCCATTTATGTTGCACACTGTATGTGTAGTTAATTGCTTGCTGAAACTGAACCGGAGCTACGTTTCAATTTGGAACGTAGAACAGGGAGTGGCGATTGACGTAGGTGGTAACACAGTCTAGCGAGCATCCCGCATACTCTCATTAGCTTCTCCGCTAGCCATCACTGCTCATTTCGAATGAAGATCGCAAAATGCATGCTGAAATTGCCAGAACAACCGCAGTTGCACGATTTTTAAACCTGTCGAACGGCCTCTAAGATGCTCAGCAAGTAACTGCATTATTCTCAGGCATTTCTTGGAAAGGATATTCCTTTTCCTATCGGATACGAGCCTTATAATATGGCTACGAGAGCACATTCATGATTTTTTCTTATTCACATTGCACGTCGGATACGAACAACGTCCGTGTCAACGACCCGGCAGATGATAAAGGTGCTACAAGTTTGAAGAAAAAGTTTAGCCCACCGTCAGGGGCTGCCTGACCTGAAGCCTCGTGCAGAGGAGCATTGGTCACCCATTGATGTCATCTTATCGTGCTCGGAAGCTGAACAAAGTCTGGAGGGCTGCCTTCAATTTCTTTTCACATACATCGTGTACTGTTCACATCACTATCAGCCGTGTGGCGCAGCTCCGTCTGTCAACTGCTATCGTCAACAGTGCAAAGGCCAAGAGGTGTTCTCACAAAATAGCCTCACAGAAAATGCAAAAGGCTCTGACAATGGTTCGTTTCGAGGATGGTTCATTTCGAGGATGGTTTCGTTTCGAGGCATCTCCTTCTCGTCAGCCATGCTAACATCTTGGCTACAGAAGTGCTGATGGACAAAGAACATCTTTAGAACAACCGTTTTTCACGTACCGCTAATGAGTTGCTTCTTAGGGGAAAAATACGCTTTTCGAGATGCGGACGGGTCACGCTACCTGCGGCGTGGGCTGTTCGTAACACTTCGTAACCTGGCAGGCCTCCTCCTCAGCGTAACGACAGTGCCGTTACTTGGCCTCAAAAAGTCAAGCAGCGTTTATTTATCCATTGGACCGCTAAACCGTCTCCACCTTGCTTCTCCCTATCTTTCTTCACGCGCCGCTGATGGAAGTACTATTCTCCATGGGATTTTCGCTACAGTGGATCCATCCAGAGCCTCGTGAGCAACGCGGTCTGCGTCGAACGCATAAGCGACGCTCCATGCAGCTGGCACTTGAGTGCATATCTCCTCACTAAAATCCCACTATCGCCTCAATCGTCTGCTGTATACTCACGTTGAAGTCGTGCCTCCTCGACGCGAGGCAGCGCCCCAATGACGCAAGCATGCACGCTGACACAAAGAAGGTTAGACTGCGGCATTTTTCATTGCTGGGGACTGTCGAAGCTTTCCTTTGTACCTCAAACCAGTGATACCTGAAGCAGGCACGGAGCTACTCGTACCTTCATCATTGGTGTGGTGCCTAGCCCAGGAATTAGGCGCGGCAGTGCAGGCGACGCCTTAACACTCTGCTGGCCCAGGCACAGATAGCTGCATATACGGCCCTGTCCTCGAACGGAGAAGGAACGCCTCCTTAAGAGGGGAAGCGTTCCGAATATACTATGTTAGAGAGGAAAAAGTGAGTAGTAAAGAAACCGAGAAAGCAGCGTGTCTGTAAAAGGCCAAACAGCCCTGTTGAGGCTTAATCGAGGGGAAGGGTGCTTCTCCACGTCACCTCCTCACCTGTTGCTGGCTTTTGCCAAGACGATGCCTCAGCATTAGCATCACCACTGTTTCGCCTATCAACAGACTCATGTAGCCCCGCACGCATGTGCCAGCAAGCGTTGTGCTATCATTTTTATTTTACCCAGGGGCGGCAACTTGCACCAAAGTTTAACCCTATCTTGGGCATGAGTAAAGCTCCACCACATTGGTCGCCCTTTCTCACAGTTGCATAGCCCTAGGGCTCCTCAGTGCCTGGTTCTGTGTTTCGCTCAGATGCCTTACCCTAGTTGTGCTGATGGTCCAGCGATGGTGAGCGCACTCATCCTTGACTAGAATTGTAGAATTGTGACCACTACAGTCTCCTTTAGTAGATATAAAGGCCAGGGTTCGGGGCATTTTTGCATAGGCTGAAGTGTTATCACCATGACGTAACGAATCATGGTCTATATTGTCGCGAATTCCACTATAGCCAGAGCTAATCTGATCGTGCAGCTTTCAAGCGGTACGCATTTTCGTACTTAATTATTGTCAAAGCAAGCGGCATCGTTGCAACAGAGGACTGGTTTTCTCAAGACATTGGTATTATTTACAAAAAGCACCCAAAACTTGCATTCACCCAGAGTGACTAGACACGGTCAATAATTCAATTTGTGGTTATCAATAGCAGTAAAACATTCAGTAGGGATGTTATGTTATTAATGAATTTGTGCGCACTTTAAAATTTTGAACAACTGAATGTATGAAATGCCAAATCTATTCAAGGAGCTCTATGGAGCTTTGGGGAGAGGAGTTATGTTGCGGCTGCCAATGAGCTGGGCTATATCGACTGCCAGCCAATCTTCTTCATATAAAAAGGGCTAAACCGTCTAATGACCAACAGAAGCCAAGGACAAAGGCTAGCTGGCGTACCGCCTACCCACAAAGGACGGTGGGATTTGGTTACACTGTTGCTTATTTCATCGATTCCGTAGACGCCGACAGAAGGCATCATCGCAGGAGAAGCGAATCCTCCAAGTGGTTCGGACTTTATGATCTCGATTGTAATTCTAGGATATCTAAAAGCATCCCAAATCGAGGTAAAAATGGGATCAGGGATCACCGCAAGAGCATTCTGCCATCGAACAAGATTCGCACAACGGCCAAACTACATGCCATCCTCATTCCTACAAAAGCCACAGAACAGCGATTCAAAGCCTATCAACAGGGCCACATTTAGCATGATCTGGGAAGT